CTAAGATATTCCAGTGTGCATTTAGTCAGCCTTCAGCAAAAATCATGCTAGTGTATATAACCGGTGTATATTGTGAGCGCACTTCCAAAAGTTTAATTGTGTAGAAGCCAAGCCATTCTCGCCCTTAAGTGTCGTGCGCAGTTACCCCACCTTAACCAAGCCAAGACAGCCTCACCTCGCCTTGTGCACCCCTCCGCCACCCTGAGACAGCATCCAACTGCCTCAAACCTCACCCCTCACCTCACTCCGCTGCCTCCAGCTACAATCAACAGCCTGGGGACTAGTGAGTGTGAATGTTAGTGAAAGGGTGTGTCATACCGGTATAATTAACATGAGTACTCAAACCATATTGTTCTCTGTATCATTCGTCTATGCCAAATTCCTAGTGTTGATTTAATCACCCAATCGGTGTTCGTTCTCCATAATCCCTCTATGGGACCGAGTTCAATTCCCTGAGGAAGCACGATAGGTAAAGGCCTACTACAATTATTCTGTGTGACTACTGTAGCTGGACTTTGAGTGTGTTGTCATCTTACACTACATTATTACACATTTAGAGACTGTGTCAACTGTTGTGTTTTATTGTGTTTAGTGTGGTTTCAATATTATACCATCACTGTGTTGTTTAACCCATGTCCATGCGTTCTGTTCTTTACATCCAGGGGACATGCTGTAATTAACAAGTAAGAGTATTGTGTGTATTTCTTAATTGTTTTATTGACACGAGCGTCAGTGTGTTGTGTTGTTCAGTGCTGTGGTTACGCATTGTATTGTGTACTATATTGTGTTGGTCTCTGTGACCCAGTGTTGTGTGACTTGGTGTCATTATTGTGTACAGTTTATGTTGGTCTCCGTGACCCCTGCGTTGTGTAACTTAGTGTTCATTTATCTTGATCCAATGTAACTCGGTGTTCATTTATCTTGAGAAGTCAGTGTGACTTAGTGTTCATTATTCTCGAAGTCAGCGTCTTGATTTAACGTAATCGATTGTCGTTTGATTAGTATGTGGTGATTAGCAATCGTGTTGACTAATCAGCGTTTGTCAAGCGGTCTCAGTGACTGCCAAGCGTTAACATAGTTCTTCGTGAGTCAAGTTGAGCTGTCAAGTTGTGACAGAACCTTGAGTGGTTACTCGGGGATTGCTAATTACCCATAAGCTGTTGTTGACTTCATTGTCTTGTTTGATTTGTTTGACTGTCTGTGTTGACAGTGTGTTAACGTAGTTTACAGTGTTTTGATTTGAATGTCTTGGAGACGTAGTAACGTAATTGGATTCACTAAGTAACGTAAACATCTGTACTTGTTTTATTGAAATTGAGTAGATCAATTGTCATCTGTCTGTCATCGTGTTTAACTTAATTAACTGAGTGTTGCACGGAAGACTGGTCTCAGTGACAGGTCTCTCCATTGTCATTTGTGTTTTATTATTGCTTGCTGCAGTCGTGATGAGCTGCAATTGTGTCTGGAGACACAATTGAGACACTGTCTCAATGTTCTTAATGTCATCCTCAGGTGACAGTTTTCTATTTAGAACTCACTTCCCCCTTCAGAGCAGGAGAGATTGCTGAAATAGAGGGAATACAGAGAACATATACGGCACGCATAGACGCAATAAAGCACCTAAATTATTGGGATCGTCTCAAACCCTCCAAATGTACTCACTAGAAAGAAGACGCGAGAGATATCAAATAATATACACCTGGAAGATACTGGAGGGCCAAGTACCAAATCTACACAGTAAAATAACAACGTACTGGAGTGAACGACATGGAAGAAAATGTAGAATAGAATCAGTGAAGAGCAGAGGTGCCATAGGCACAATCAGAGAACACTGTATAAACATCAGAGGTCCGCGGTTGTTCAACGTCCTCCCAGCAAGCATAAGAAATATTGCCAGAACAACCGTGGACATTTTCAAGAGGAAACTAGATTTATTCCTCCAAGGAGTGCCGGACCAACCGGGCTGTGGTGGGTATGTGGGCCTGCGGGCCGCTCCAAGCAACAGCCTGGTGGACCAAACTCTCACAAGTCGAGCCTGGCCTCGGGCCGGGCTTGGGGAGTAGAAGAACTCCCAGAACCCCATCAACCAGGTATCAACCAGGTACCCCTAGATCCCTTTCTTTGTCAGAATTCTTTAAAGATTTCTCACATAATTTATAGGTTGTGTGGGGTCTATGTTCTCCAATTCCACGTTCCATAGCATGACATTTATTCACATTAACACTTTCGCCCAGGTATGACGCAGCATTGTGTCATCTGTTTACTGTCGGTAATGACGGGCATGACGCAGCATTGTGTCATCCACTTTAAATAATCGCCAAAAATCAGGTTTTTATCCAATTTTTGGGGGACTGGTTTTAAAATGCGTGCCGATGTCTTCCCATTTTCTTTGTTGCACCTCGTGGCCCACAGGCGGCTCAGCACACGCCATCGGCCCATTGTTTTCGCTCCACTGTTGTGACCGGTGTCGCCTCCCCTCGCATCTCAAATGTGTGAATATTTCGGCTATTTTCCGTGGCTATATTTCTTACTGCGGCTTTAGAAACTATCTACGCTTACTCCACGATGGATAGTGATCATGAACAAGGCCCTTCCAGGAAGAAAATTGCGAAAGAAAGGCGTGAATAGGGCGGGAATTGGGAGTGTAGCTGGAAGGCGTCTGAGCGCTCATTCGCGGCTAACGCGTGGCCCGTCTTCAACTCATCGGCGGTTGGAGCATGACCAGGTTTTTTATTTTATATGCTAATGTTCCTATAGAGAATGCTATTGCGAACCCATTGAGACCAAAATGAAAGACCTAGGACAAAAATTGAGGTGACCAGAGTGAAAATAGTGAAAACATTTTATCGCGTTTGCGCTCTCCTGGGTAACTCGTTCGCACTTTCTCTGTTTGCTGCGGGTAATTAGCCGGGCTTTTGGAGTTTATATGCATTTAGTGCTGTAGAGAATTCTATTGCGAACACAATGATACCAAATTTAATCTCGTAGGACGAGAATTAAGGTGACAAAGTTGAAGAGAGTATACACTTTTCAGAATTTATGCGCGCTCCCGTGAAACCCTGGGACCCAAATCGCACAGTTGAGGGGGTGGCGCGCGGGGTACGCCAAAGTGTTAAATTCCATTTGCCAAGTGGTGCTCCATATACTTATTTTGTCCAGGTCTTCTTGAAGGACCTGGTTGATACCTGGTTGATGGGGTTCTGGGAGTTGTTCTACTCCCCAAACCCAGCCTGAGGTCAGGCATGACTTGTGAGAATTTGGTCCACCAGGCTGTTGCTTGGAGCGGCCCGCAGGCCCACATACCCACCACAGCCCAGTTGGTCCGGAACTCCTTGGAGAAAAGGGGTCATTTATGTTTCTTATCTTCCCTATTATCTTAGCATCATCAGCAAACATGTTCATATAATTCTGTATTCCATCTATAGATTGGTGCGTGATTTACATGGCATATTTTCTTCTATTAAAGTCCCATCTCTTCCCAGTGGTGAAGTTACGTTCTACCAAGAGAATGATCCTCGATTTTTGTGGGGATTCATCCCTTGTCCAACTTTCTGTATTACCACATCAGTTATGGTCTTTTGGATTCATCCCCAACTCTTGGCTAGTGTCCATCTAACTACAGGAGGTCTATTTACGTGTGTTAATTCAACTGAGGTTCAGGAATTTTCTAAGCTCCATGTGGGTGACGTATTGCCACTTCTGGGCTCTTTCCTTTAAGCTAAATCTGGTTCTCAGAACCTTCAGGAGACTGACCAAGGTGGTACCCAGGGAGCTTTGACTCTGAATCACCCAGGTCTTTACGTACCTATATAACTGATTCACTCAAACACCCAGTGTTCATCAGTGCATGCTGGCCAGAAATGACATGTGTACAGTGTTGAATAAGTTCAGTTTCTTGGTCTATCTGCCTCCCTCAGGCCAATCCTAGAGTCAATAATATACAGTATTCATAAATTTGCAATTTACAAAGCCACCTTCTTGGTTATGTTTGTGCTGGGATCTGCATATGAGGATTTTGGTAGACCACCTGAGATTTTACAGAGTTGTAAAGAAAGTTCATAGAAAGAAAAAAAATACCCTGCCTGCAAGAACAGTGTGTGCCTATAGCTACACACAAACTTCCAGTTGGCACACTGCTACTCTTGGGTGAGTTCCCCCTTTTGTTTGGTTCTGTTTTCTATTGTCCATGAATGATGCTTTCCTTGGAATGCAACCAAATACAATATCTCAGAAATACATAGTGATTAATGACGAGCACCTTTGAGCTGTGCCGTTCAGTTGCCTCTGGTCCTTTCCTTTTTCTCCTGTTTGCGTCATATTATGTGCCTAAGAAAATATGTAAAGTACAAGGGATCGGAGGTTTGCATTGTGATGACTATACGTCATCATCTAGTGTTTGATCACAAGGGAGACATCTTACATTACTCTGAATTCTTATGGAATGCAGCTCTGCCAGTCAATTCTGGCTAGAATAAGCTGATCTCTAGTGATCACCTTGCACCTTTAATGATCCTGAAGGAACCACTTGAAAAATTTCATGTGATGCTGACACCAAGAATGTCTCCTGCCTGACTGCCCTAATCCTTGTCCAAGGCCTCATTGGGTCTCGCCTTAGGGTTTAATCAGATGATATAGATCAGAGAGGTGATTTTCATATTCAAACCTGTATTTTTCATTACAAATTCAATATTTTTTCTACTGTATGGTTCTGAGCAATATTTCATATTACAAATACAGTACTGTACTGAACTAAGAAATATAATAAGCAATAAATTAAGCATTCACTAGCTAATTTTCTTCTAAAAAGTTAACATAAATACTCTTGATTGTACTTTGAGACTTAATAAGAATATCTTGTATCTCTCTACTAGTGCATGTGTAGTGTTCTTTAGGTGGTTTACACACATTCATTTATTTCAATGCCCTTTTCAACCAAACTAACTTCCTCTGTTCTTTCACCTTAATTTATTTTCCCCCTTGACTCATTCACAAACATGTACCTGGCCTTGAGTGTTTCGAGCCCTGTACCATTCTGGATCAGATGGCGGTCGATCCAGAACTTCCATCCTTTCTCCTTTCGTGAATGTTAATTCGTGTTCATTTTGTGCAGTAAAAGAATATAGCGCAACAACAACATCAAGCACGTTTTCTGCCATAGTGTACGTGTGGTCCTCCTCTGTGGGTTCTTCTGTGGTGTAATTAGAAGGGAACCACCCAACCAGGTTATTGTAATGACCTCGCCACCATCCATCGTTACTCTTCTCAAGGATTAGTACCCTTGTACCTGCAAAATTTAATATATATTTTAGAATTCAAATAGCCAAAATACATAACTCCTGTTTCAAATTCTAAATCATAATACTAGTAAATATATCTATGATATTAAGCACGTTATCTGTACAGTAGAGTACTGCAATGAGAAAACTTGGCTTTAAAATTCTTGTTCAGGAAAGGTATAAAACTTGCATTAACTTTACAAAATAAACCAAATTTTTTTTATTAGCAAACCCTGAAGATTATCTGAGGACACGACAATAATCTTCAAAAGGTAAAAGACAAGAATCTTGCACTGAATTCTTTACAGAAAATCCATCTCATTAGGCACTCTCAACTGACTGGATTATTGAGAACTAATAAGGAACTACGTACTAGTCTGCCAAAGATTTTAATATTTTAATTGTAACCCCATGATTTGTGAGAAAGTTTAAGAGTGAATGGAGAAAAATGTCACTGGATAATTGAGCTCAACACAATACTGTATAATTAACTTATGTTAATGAATATGTACTTACTGGATAGCATTCTTATGGCTTTTGCAAAAAATTATTTATTTTTAAACCAAGGGTTTAGTGCACCTATTAAAGTCAGAATATAGAATACAGTTCATTATCAAAATAAGGTTAATAAGATAAACATTTGAAAAATATTTTTATTTTCAACTACAAAAATTTAATGTATAACAACATAACACTGTGATAATTACCTGTCTTGACATGCATATGGTATGAATAAAAGTAGAAAATTCAATGCCTTTTCAAAAAGCTTCACAAGTTACATGCCAAATTTCCTAGTACTGTAAAGTAGAAAGTACCTTTAACTAGAGAAAGTTCATCCATCTGCTGAGCTTGATAGTTGTATTTGACTACAGCCCAACCAATGGCTTCAGATGGATCGATGGGTGTGTTGCCCCGGACTCCACCGGGACTGTCAACCCCTCGTGTTGGTGTTCCTCCCGTGGACGGCAGGGTGCGGCTCCCACCACCTTTCTTAACACGCTTCTTTATACTGCAAACAAAACACCAAAGAATTGTATTTAAGTCTTACTGTGTATAAGTATTAGGTACAATACAATATTTTAGAACTGCAAGAATCTCTCACACTCAAAAAAACTGTAGATAATTTAAAAAGGAAGAAGCATATTCAAAGGTATGAAATTATCTTAAAAGATTAAAAAATAAAAATACTTGTTAGTAACAGTATACATAACCAAATGCTTAAATTACTAGCAGCACTAAGCACTGTACTGTAGCAGGTAGATGGCAAGAGATTCATTATGTATTTAACTAGAATAAATTTTAAAAGTGAAATCAGTTTTCTATTTAAATGTGATAAAAATATACTCATTTTTAATTCTGTGTACAAAAAACCAGCATTGAATGTAATGAAACGCCATTTTCTGAGCGAGAGTCAGAGGCTCGCCGAAGCTATCCAGGCTGATATGAATGTATTAGACCCTGGCATCAGTAAACTAAACGGAGTTCTTAGGCCTGCCTACCGGGGACCTCAAGCCAGAACCTGGACCCCTCAGAGAGGCATGAGGAGCAATGGCCTATAGAAACCCTGTGTGATTGGAAGCATTCTATGCCTGCCATCAACCAGGTCAGGTACCCAAAAAGGTAGGTGCCCCAAAACAAACCCTAGCTGGTGAAACAATTGCTACCGAAAGCCAAACTGTTGGGCAGAACTCCCCAAACGAAAACGAGCAAACAAGCATGACGTCACCACTGTCACTGCCTGCACAGCTCCCCACGCCCCGGAAAGGGAAAGGGGAAGCCCCAGACCCCGCCACACGCCACACAAGAACAAGAGGTCATAGATTTAAACTAGCTAAACACAGATGCCGAAGAAATATAAGAAAATTCACTTTCGCAAACAGAGTGATAGACGGTTGGAACAAGTTAGGTGAGAAGGTGGTGGAGGCCAAGACCGTCAGTAGATTCAAAGCATTATATGACAAAGAGTGCTGGGAAGACGGGACACCATGAGCGTAGCTCTCATCCTGTAACTACACTTAGGTAATTACCAGCTATCTACCCTTAAGTTCTGAGGACGAATGTCAAAACTAGCGAAAACTGCCGAACGGAGAGGAGGGAGGGAGGGTTGCCGAGGAGCTTCCGGGTCTCACCCAGAAAATGGTGTTTCATTTTATTCATCGCTGGTTTTCTGGGAAAACCCCTTCAGCTCCCTGGAGCTACTTACCCCAAGATAAAACGAGGGATTTACCGGGGAGGCGGTCGCCACTAGCTCCTCAACTTGAAGTCAAGACAACGGGTTGCAACTGCCGACCCAATGCGACACATGCCCAAATATGGCCAGGAACACTGACCAGGTAGTGAGTGACCAGGACCCTGTTCGACCTCCAAAACCCCCTTGCCCGAATGTCAGCCCAAGACATGTTACCAAAGATGGCAGCCAGTGCAGCGCAGCAAACTTACAAACATCATAGGCACGAGGATAGATCACAGGCTGGCTGGATCGAATAATCCTGCGGACGACCTGGGAGACCCGAATCCTGGAACAGGGAAGGAGGAAAACCGGGTCAACCCAAACATGTCCCCGGCCACCGAGGCCGTAGTGCGCAGGTAATGGCAAAGAGCTGCAACCGGACACAACACATGATGCCCCCTGGTCAAACCAACCAAGCATCAACAACCCAAGGACCCTCTCTGGAAAGCAGCAATCTCAGTCTTTGCCAGAAAAGAAGGAGATGGCTGCAAACAAACAAACCTACCACCAGGAACTAAGGAGCAGAAACCTCTGTGCCGGAGAAGAGCATGAAGCTCCCCAACCTGACCCCCAGAGACCAAAGTCAACAAGAAACGAGCCTTCGCAAAACAATCTTGAACCGAAGGGGCCACAAAAAACCGAGAGGAAGATAGAAAAAAAAAGAACACCCGGTCCAACGACCAGGATGACATGAGGCGTCAGTATTCAGCATAAGATGATGGTCCAGAAAAAACCATGAAAGGAAGGACAAGACAACCCAATTCAAAATAGAAAAGAACCTACGAAGGGACAAGAAATAATGGAAGGACCGCCAAGAAACTTCATACTGCCGCCGAGACGAGATATGTAGGTGGGACACCATCAACAAAGCCACCTGCTCACCATACAAGTGGTGATAGACCCACATCAGAAAAACTAGACACAAAGACTGGAGGAGAAAATTGAACCAGCTTTGTAATGGACTAACCTGATCTGCTGAAAGAGGCAGAGCCGTGGGAAGACTTCCGGGTTCGGACACCGAGCAAGCAGCCCCTGAAACCAAGGCTGGGCCGGCCACAAAGTGGCCAACAGGACTAATCTCTTTAGGTAAGTCTCCAAGCGAGCTAGAGCCCGAAGCAAGAGTGGGACTGGGGGAAAGAGGTACAGGTAACCCCACCTCGATCAGTCCTACCTGAAGGCATCGACCCGGATGGCCTTGCAGTCGGGGAAGGGTGCCACATATCGGGAGACGCTGCGACCACGCCAACGCGAAGAGGGCCACCTCCAGGAGCCCATACGTCCAGCAGAGCCAAATGAACAAGTTGGCATCACTCGTCCATTCCATGGACAGGGGAATGAACCAAGACAGGCTGTCCACCAGGATGTTGGACACCCCCGAACGTGAACGATCAGGAAAGCCAAACCCCGAGAACTCAGCAGACGAGTCACCCGAAGCTACCAGCCCCAAAGAGTCAAGGACCTCATTGAACCCCCTGCAGTTCTGGCAATGAACCACCGGGAAGCAGTCTGAATGGAGTCGGATTGTCAATCCGTGAGCGACCCGAACCCTCCGAAGCGACATCCACACAGCCACGAACTCCTGCGCCGTGCTGTATGCTCGATGGAAGGACGAACTCCACTGCCCCTGGCCGGCTTGGTGAGCTCTGGTCACAAAGCCCCAGCCAAGAGACAAAGTGTCCTTGAACACATCGAGCAAGGGCTCGGGTAAGCGCCAAGGCACTGAATAAAGATACTGTACATTGAACAATGACAAAGGTATTAATTATTATATACGTACATTAGAGTACAGCCAAAAAAAATAAAATGGAAGCCGGCGACTCAGCAGCCGACGTAAGGCACTCGGAGGCCGAACCCAGCGATCGCAAGAGAGGCGGAAGAGACGTCCGCGAAGGAGCCAGCACAGCTGACAAATCCAAACCCGACCCGATCACAGCAAAGTTCAGACTCCCGCACAAACCCTAGAGCTACCGAGCAAACTACCAAGCAAACTACTAGTGCTGTACCCCCTCGTCATGTACACACACATGGAGACGTAGCAGAGGACCACCAAAAATACAATAAGAGAGGGGTCACCACACAAAGACTCCCCCCCCCCCCCAACCAGGCAGAAAACAAAGAGAAAAACCCCGCATGAGTACGACGACACAGGCAGAACAGAGCTGGCCACTGTTATAAAGTGAAAACTAGCTTCACAGTATCTTGCCCCCCTACCAGTGACAAAGCTACCTCCTACGAAGGCCCAAGACTGTTCAACACACCTCCACTACACATAAAGGGCATAACTGACCGACCCCCTCACAGTGTTTAAGAGAGAACTTGACAAGCACCTCCAAAGGATACCTGGTCAACCAGGCTGTGACTCATAGGTCAAGCTGCAAGCAGCCGCATTCAACAGCCTGGTTGACCAGTCCAGCAACCGGGAGGCCTGGTCAACGACCGGGCAGCGGGGACCCTAAGCCCTAAAAATACCTCAAGGTAACCTCAAAGGAAGGTACCCAGAAGCAAACAGGGGCGCATGAAACACCCCAGCTGACTCCAAGCGCAGGCAATCACCAAGCAGCAAAATACCAAGGCGGAGGTAGGTCCCGAGTAACTTGTGAAAGGTAACCCTAGGCACATGCAGCCCGAGTACTGGTGAAATTACTCCTGGCTCGCACACCCCCAATTGACAGAACCACACCACAAGGCACAACACTGAGACAATTCTGGAGCCAGAGTCACACGACCGCCAAGGTCTTATATCAGCCACAGAACTGAGGGGTGGATAGTCGGTGCGGGTGGTAAGGGGCTCCCCCTTTTCCCTCCCGATGCAGGGGGAGCTGCTCAGTCATGCTCATTTCCTCGTTTTTGTTTGGGGAGTCCTGTCCAACAGTTCGTCTTTTGGTAGCAATTTTTTCACCAGCTAGGGTTTATTTTGGGACACCTACCATTCTGGGTGCCTAACCCAGTCAATGGCAGACATAGAATGCTTCCAACCACACACCGGTTTCTATAGCCCATTGCTCCTCGTGCCTCTCTGAGGGGGCCCAGATTCTGGCTCGTGGTCCCCGGGAGGCCTAAGAACTCCATACATATGACTGATGCCAGGGTCTGACATTAGCATATCAGCCTAATAAGCTCCGGGGAGTCGAAGGGGCTCCCCCCAGAAATATAGCATAAGGTTTAATGAAATGGTTGTTTGTGGACAGCCCCTGAGTAGCTCCATGGAACATAATGGAACAACTATTGCAGAGTCTCAGATAACCTACAGGACCGCTGGACTTGCTCAAGTCAACTAGAAATCAAGACCAGATTCTTATATCTTCTAGAAGGATGAGGAGAATACATTGGAATATTAACCTACAACCAGAACACTGCCCAGAAAAATCACAGGAGAAACAAAACCATTGTTCTTAATTAAAATAAATAAAGCAAACAATATATTGCAATGAATAAACTAATTTTGTACCATATCAAATTTGTACCGCTGACTTAGACTGTCACTGGATGGAAGCCCAGTCTATCTGGAGTACCTGCCAGCCACCCTCCTTACTCAAGGGGCTGTCCAGAAAGCCTCTAAACCCTATGGGGAAAAGGAACAATGGAGGAGGAATGGGGAGATACAGGGGGCGGTCCTGAAAGTTAGATCTCAATACAATGACCACTACTTCTGAACCAGCATCCTCAGTAGCTCTCTGGACCACAATTATACTCACAAAGGTGCCTTGGAGAGGACAACATGCTGGCAATGTAAAAAAAAAATATTAGTAAAACAGGACATAGGAAAAGAGAGTCCTTACCAGTGCATCACCAGCCCAAGCACCACACAATCGTGGCAAAGATGAGGGACATCCATTAGATAACAAGTGACCAATCCTTGTTGGACCACTAGATAACCCAAGTCTCCATATTAGACTTAGACATAAAACAAGGACCACGTGGAGTAGTTACACACATCATGGAGAAACTTGTTTTTCCTTCACTACAAGGAGAAACAGTAGGCTGGCTGAACTGAACCATTCTCCAGATGACCTGGGAGAACCAAGCCTTGGAACATGGAGCCAAGGATGTTACATTAAAAAAAAAAAAGCACTCGCCCAAGAAGCACGAAAAGAATGAACATAATTCTGCACAGAGGCCACAGGATAATAATCTACCATCAGAAGTTTTAAAGCATTATATGACGAGTGCTGGGAAGACAGGAGACCTCGAGTGTAGCTCTCATACAGCAACTACACTTAGGTAATTACACCAACCACACAAATCAAGCATCAACAATCAAGAGATCACTCTGAAAATTGGAAATTTCATTCTTAGCTAAAAAGATGGAGAATGCTGAAGAGGGAGAGAATAATCATCAGGACATTGGAACAAAACCAGGAAGTCAGATTCAGCAATATGCGGTACTGCAGAGCAAATCTTTAGAATGCCAAGACGTGATCCAAAGAACAAGTAGGAAAAAAAAAATTCCTAGTCAATTTGATAGAAATTGACAGGATGAAAAAACATCCTAGTCAATTTGATAGAAATTGACAAGATGAAAAAACATCCTAGTCAATTTGACAGGAACAAATGAGATATCCATCTCAAAAGCAAGAGAGGCTCCACCAAAGCCAAATGATAAGAAATTATATACATATTTTATTGGGCATCAAATGGCAATACAAAGAAAGCCAGGAAAGAAATGACATGACCACTGTCACAGAAGCTGATGAGAAATGATAAGAGAGGAACTGATATTTGAAGAAAATGAGGGGAGGAATGCAAAGATGTGATCCAATGACAGAGATGTTGCCACACAAGTAAACGTAACTCCCATACAAATAGCGATATGTGAGATTTAAAAGTGTATTGTTGAGTACAGTACTGTAACAGAGTGAACTGGCTCAATAGATATAAAAGAAAATGGAATAAACCCATGAGGTAACTACTGGAAATACTGTACCTGAAAAACTTCTTAATGTAGAAATTTAAATTGGGACTACTGGTATAGTAGTATCCTCTGATATCAGAGCGTGCGTGCGTGCGTGTGCGTGTGTGTGTGTGTGTGTGTGTGTGTGTGTGTGTGTGTGTGTGTGTGTGTGTGTGTGTGTGTGTGTGTGTGTGTGTGTGTGTGTGTGTGTGTGTGTGTGTGTGTGTGTGTGTGTGTGTGTGTGTGTGTGTGTGTGTGTGTGTGTGTGTGTGTGTGTGTGTGTGTGTGTGTGTGTGTGTGTGTGTGTGTGTGTGTGTGTGTGTGTGTGTGCGTGTGTGTGTGTGTGTGTGTGTGTGTGTAAATTTTGATGGAAAAATTCTTATTCGTTGTCAAGATATTGTTCAAGGTCAAACCCCCAAGCGAAAGTTTGAAGTGGTTCTAAATATAGTCACCAGAGGACTGCATGGCTTCATTTATGAAAGGCATTTATATTTTTTGATTATATACTTTAATGAATGAGGGTTTAAAGTGTCAAGCTTATACACAAAGGCATTCTCAAGATATTGAACTAAAACATAATAATAATAATCAAGTGAAAACCATAAGAAACCTGAGGATACCCAATACATAAAATGGAGATCAGCGATGTAATAACTTACTCTGGTAGGAAATTCATGACTGCGGCCATACAATAGCTACAGGACGAGCAGGTGAAGGAGGTAAGGGCACGAGGACACACCACTGACCACTTGAGCTTCTAGGCTATGGTCCACATGCTGTCACACACCAACACTGGCATCCCAAGAGGTGGCATAAGCCGGGCCACCACCCGTCTTCAGCCCTGCCCACCAGTGCCCCGGGGATGGCCCCTGTGCTGGCTCTCTACCCCTGCCTGGTTAACTAGTTTACTTGCTCTGATGATGGGTGTGGTGCTAGAATATTGGCACAATTGTCACTATCTTTTCCACACTCACATCCTCTCTGCCTTTCCAATAACGCACCGGTAAATGCTGTGACCTGTCTGTCTTTTCTTTATTTAAAAAACTCAACACCTGCAATGACAAGCCACACTTACTGCCTACATCATTCATCATTATTCAACATTAGATTTTCTAGATATGTACCTCTATTATGGATTACTGAAGCCAGCATTTTTGTCTTGTAATATTCGAGTTTTCTTTTAATTTTATTAATTGATTTTAGTTTTATAGTTATTCTATTTTACACTTTCATATTAAGTTTTACCAATAGAGTATCTCTTCAACACAACAGTCACTTCTTCTCCAGGTGTTTGGGATCTTCACATCCAGTGACCAACACAATGAAGTTCATCACTGCTTGGATTACACATCACTGAACCACCATAATGTTCTCTCTGCTTGTTCTATATACAGTACACAAGGTATGCATGTTATATAGTGCTAAATCATACATAAAGCTCAAGACGCCCTTCAGCTTCCACTCTATGTAAAATGTCTATTACAAAATTAAGCCAGAATCACGAGGGTCTTAAACATTACCAGTACTAGTATATAAAAATGCACATTTTCAGATATTAAAAAAACACAAAAATAATAACACAAAACACATGTGGCTTCTTTTCAATATGACATTACAGCACTTTATATTCCCCAACTTGTTTACTGACTCAACAAACACATCCAAATTTTTACTTCCAAAAGTTGTACTGCCAAGATCAGTTCCATAGCCCCAATGACTAAGGCTAAGGAAATTTTAGGAACATTCTTTTTTTTTGCAGCATTTGTAAAATAAATGCTGCAGTTATGTTGACTGCAAGACATAACAAATGCATTTATAACCAAAAATGTTAGTGGGATCAACATTTTAATTTCCATTATATACACTTCAATATAGCTTGAGTTTTGGAATGTTTATCTTGAGGTTATCTTGAGGTTATCTTGAGATGATTTCGGGGCTTTTTAGTGTCCCCGCGGCCCGGTCCTCGACCAGGCCTCCACCCCCAGGAAGCAGCCCATGACAGCTGACTAACACCCAGTGTTATGATCTCAGCCTGCAGGAGAAACGAGTCTCCCTTCTTGAGAGTTATTCAGCAAGCCTGACCTAACTAGAAGGTCTAGCAAGTATTGAGGTGATAACGCATATGTAAAATAGTTGGTTGGATATGTGTAACAGTTTGAGATTATGGGCAATGCAGAAGAAAATAGATAAATGACTGGCTAGGAGATGTGGACATTTTGCTGGAGGCTTGAGGCTCGCTTCTGGAGGACCTTGACCTCACTTGAGTGCCAGACATCGCAGGGGGAAGCCGCGCTCCGTTGAGCTCCCGTCAGAAGGGAACCCCTAGTGATATATCTCTAAGAAAAGAGAAGTGTGCAGACGTGCCAGCTGTGGAATCGAGCTGGGGACGTGTGGTCTCAAGTCGTGGACGATAATTAGTGAATATTAAGCCGCCCGGAGGCATTATTGTGGGCTGTGTGGAGCGCCCTGACCAGACGCCGTCAGAGGAAAAGCGCCCTCGACCAGTTAATCTGTGGTAAGCACGATATACGCCAGTTCATAGTGATTGCATTGTAGTTGGTCGTGTGCCCAGCGACAGTAGCGATGTTTATTTATAAGTTAGACATGTTTTAATAAGGCAGAAGGCCTGAAATAGGAGAGTGAAGAGGGAGGAACACGGAGCGACGTCCGTCCTCTCTGAGCGCTGGCGGACGACTGAGGGAGCCTGGCTCCGGATGGAGGAAGACCCTCCCAGCGAGTGAGGGCCGCCACCAGGCGAGGTGGAGTATGGACCCGCCCAAAACGGGGGAGTCCACTCTCACTGTATGTAGAGAACAGATAGAGGTTTGAGGCAAACATATTGTGTGAATATTTTTTGTTTATGTGTTAAAGGGGAACATTTTATTGGAGTGTCGATGGGTTGCAGGTTTGTCTTTTGGGGAAGAAGTTGCTGAGAACTTCGAAGCCAGCAGATGATGTAGCTGATGAGACTCCAAGGTAGTGGAGCAGAGGACCTCGAGCTGTGAGGAGAAGCAGCAGTGAAGAGGAGTGTCACGTGCTTCTGTAGAGGTGGTGAAGCACCATAGTTACTCGAGGAAACTTCATGGTGTAGCAGCCAAGAGAGCTGTGGAGGAGCCTAGCAGAAGGGTGAAGCACCGTAGTTGCTCAAGGAAACTTCATGATAGCAGCCTGGAGGAGCTGCAGAGGATCCTGGTAGTGAAGCCCGGAAGAACCTAAAGAAATAGGGTAGTGAACTTCCAGAGGTGGAAGGGGAAGTTCTGGTGGATTACTAGTAGGGAGTTGATAGTGTTTGGTTGTCATTAGCGTGCAAGACGCAGTGAGAGGTGAGTGACTGTTGGCATTCTTGCGTCAAGGAGTTTTTTTATACTGAAGTATCAATGAACATTTATACTGGTATATGTTATTGCATTCAAATGCTGGTTTTCTATATATATATGTTATCTTGCTGATGGTGCAACAGTGTGTAGGCTTGACCAACTTGAGGAAGTTAATAGTATCAGGTGGTGAACCAGGAGGTAGGATACCACTTGATAAGCTGATAATAGAGTTCTGATGGTATTGGAGTGCAACCTGATTGTGATATTATAGAGTATAGGATTCATTATTATTATATGTGTGTATGTATCGTGTATGTGCTTTGTTCAGTAAATGTGTCACAATTTGCCGGTGTTTGCCCTTGTCCTAGTGAGGCTTCCCAGGAGGTAGTAAAGAAGGAGAGAGAGAGAGAGAAAGAACCATGAACCACTGCTGTGGACAGGGTAGGAGGTAATACTAGTAAGTCATAGGGGGATTGAGGAGATCATATCTCATAAGGAGAGAGTGGGGAGTCACAGCGGCTCGAGTGGGTGTGTGCACGTGACGACGAGGCTAAGTGTTGGAGCCGCATCCCCTGAACGTGTGACGTTGAGCCCCTCTCCAAGAGCCAGAAGCGCCAAGGGTGATCTCCTAGTATAAGCACTCTACCGAGTTGTGGGTTGGGTTGTCCGTAGAGGAAGATCAACGACGACTACACCAACCAACCCACAGTCTATAATAAATTGGGGGCCTGTCCGGGATAGTGAACTGACACACCCACACCCTGTCCAAGAGTGGATTTGTACACCCTTGCTGAAATAAACTGTGTGACCGCAGGTGTATATTCTCTCTCTTGGGAAGACTCACAGGACAAGATGGATAAGGTGCAAGCGTTTGTGGAGTCAGGCAAGCCTGAGGATTTAGAAGGTTGCACGAGGGATCAATTGAAACAAATAGCAGAAAAATGTGGCATCAGGTTGAAAGCATCTAAAGTAGCTGGGATGAAGGATGAGATCCTGAGGCAGTTAAGAGCCAAAAGTGAAGCGGCAGAGCAAGGAGCCCAAAAAGGAGCTGAAAGTGGAAAGGAGGATGATGGGCAGGATGAAGTGAGATCCCAGGGATCGAGTAGGAGCAGCAAGAGTAGCCGCAGTAGTAGGAGTAGCCGAAATAGGAGCTTGGAGAGATTCCAGTTAGAGCTCCAGATCCAACAACAGCGTGAGGAGAGACAGTTCCAGCTGGAAAAGATGAAATTAGAACTCCAGATGAAAAATGAAGCCGAGAAGGAAAAAGAGAAAACCAGGCTGGAAGTAGAAAAAGAGAAAACCAGACTGGAAGTAGAAAAAGAGAAAACCAGAGTAAGAGAACTGGAGTTGGAACAGGAGAAAGAAAAAGAGAAAGCAAGACTAGAGGTCGAAAAAGAAAAAGCCCAGGTCGAAAAAGAAAAAGAGAGAACAAAACAAATGCAGATAGAAGCGAATAGAACCTTGGCTGAGCAGAGGATTGAACATGGGTTGCCAGAGAGCACCACCCAGGTATCACACCCACCAGAGGTTAGGGTTAGGGAGAAGGACATTCCCTTGTTTGTGCCCGAAGAGGCAGAGAGCTTCTTCGAGCATTTTGAGAAAGTAGCCAGTATCAAGGAGTGGCCACAGGAGGAATGGGCCCAGCTGGTCCAGTTAAGATTGACCGGTGCAGCCAGGGAGGCATACACCCAATTGTCACTGGAAGAGTGCCAGGATTACGCCACAGTAAAGAGCAGCATATTGCGCTCGTTTCAGTTAACCCCAGAAGCTTATAGGAAGCGCTTCAGAGAGATGGTGAAAGTTGGAGCATGTACGTTTGCTGAGACAGCAAGAGATCTGGAAAGACGATTCCAGAAGTGGATTGAGGCTGCTGGAGTTGGATCTTACGCTGACCTAAAGCAACTGATGGTCATGGAGAAGTTCTTGGAGATGATGCATCCCGAAACAAAGTTCAAGATCCAAGAAGCAGGGGTAAAGGAGGTGAAAGATGCCGCAGATAGGGCGGATATGATTACTGAAGCGTACAAGAGCTTAAGGGAGAACAGAGTGAGAAGCGAGGCGAGACGCAGCAATAGCAGACCCAGTGGAGTCTGGGGAGGAAGAAGTTTTGGGGGGCAGACAAGCAGACCAGCTAGTTTTAAGCCCCAGGAAGGAAAGTTGCCGAGTCCGCCTGCTGGAGGTAAGCAGGAAAATAAAAGTGTGCAGAGGAGACAAGAGTCCAATGAAGCTCCACAGAGTATGAGTAGTACATCTGGCCCGAGGAACTCCAATACGAGTGGGCAGAGTCAGAGCTACTCGGGGGCGTATAGGAGAGATTTCTCCCAAATGAGATGCTACAAGTGCAACAGATCAGGTCACATGATGCGAGATTGTCGGCAGGGCAAGAGAGTCGTGACCCTGACGACATGTGATCCCCGGAAGAAGTACATTGATGTACAACAAGACAAACCACAGAAGGTAGATTTGATGAACGAGCGGTATAGGCCGTTCATTAGTAAAGGTTGGGTCGGCATAGAAGGTCAACCCGAGGTGGAGGTTAGTATCCTCAGGGATACTGGAGCCAATCAGAGCTTGATTCTGAGAGGCCTAATAAGAAATGATCGACTGTTAGCTGGCAGTAGGAGGATAAAGGTTCATGGGTTGTTGTCTAAGAGTGACATGCCCGTGTGTGCTGTCCAGTTGAAGTCAGATTATTTGTCGGCGGAGGTGATGTTGGGAGTGTGCCCCAACATACCTGTTCCAGGAGTCCAAGTGATCCTGGGGAACGACTTGTGTGGGTCCAAGGTGCTGCCAGAGCTGATAGTAAAAGCTGTGCCGGAGGTGAACCAGAAGGACCGCGGTACAAGTGGAACGCCGGACAAGACAGATCTAGCCAGCATCCTTGAAGATGAGGCAGAGGACAATCAAGTCATCGTATACCCGGCCTGTGTAGTGACAGAGTCGGACGTAGCCGCCGAGGAAGACATTGGAGATGAGATGGCAGTGTCGACTCCACCAAGGGAGGAGGTCAACATGGACATGTCTGGGCTGTTCGACGAAGATCGAGCTCAGAAGAATGAGGATTCGAGGAGACAGGAAGTGAAAATGACCCGACCTGAAAAGTTCAGCGTGAACCGAGCGGA